AACTTTATATATATATATATATATATATATATATATATATTAGTATAGTATTTCAGTCTGGCGAGTAAACAAAAAAATATTCTAGCCGATGGCGATTCAATTGCCAAGGTGTCCGTTGAGGGTTGCGTTGAACAGAAAGCTGCTTGGTTTGGCTTCTATGTGAGTGTTGCTTCATACATTACTACACTATTGACACTGTAAAATTTTTGTCGCTAAATTTTTTGCGCATTAGTGAAATTTTGCACGAAAAAACATCAGTTGCATTAATACATATGACCAACTTTTCCACACTCACGATCGTGGAAATTCCTTTCAGAATGACTGGATTTAACCTGTGAAATTTCGCCAAACAACGTTAACTGTGACCGCATCTTAATGCTTACTTTTACCATGGTATTACCATGGTACTAAAGAAATACATCTTTAAAGTTAATGACAGTTATTGTAGTATTGTAGTCCCATCTTTTGTAAGAGAAACCTGATGTACAAAGTTTTATACTTACCACTCAAGTTTCGACTGTTTATTCTGAAGTTAAGAGGTGCAAAAGGTTTTGAGGATACAATTTTTCCACCTACAAGAGACGAAATTGAGTCAAAACACTCCCAAGTAACAAGAGGCGAAAACCTAAATGCATATCATCCCCTCAACATCTGCAGATCAATGCGAACCAAAAAACAAGCCTGACTGGTGTCAAAGGTCAAGAACGACATGTTGACACAGGTGCCTTTGAACTACACTGACACAGAGCCCCTTCTTTTTCAAATGTTAGCAGCCAAGTGCTATTTACTTGATGTTAGGGCTGCACAAAATGGTCAAATGCGAGTAATATTGTGATTTGAATTGATTAAAAACATTTTACAAAAATAGAATTACACTATCTCTCATGCTTTTCAATTTGACTGATCGACTGTGCAGCCCTACTTATTATTTAGTTATCTTTTTTTAAATCACATGACAACACGTACCTTCCTTCATGTTGGCGAATCGTTCCTTCAGCTGGTGGTCCACCTCAGGACCAAAGGCAAAGTTATTCACAAAAATAACACTGTAAAAGAGCACATCAGACTACAGACTTATACAAGACAAATAAGCAACACGCAAACGGTTGAAGAAATGATGACAAATCAAAAAATTTGAAAAATGTTAACTGGATATAAGCATCTAACTAGTCTGTATGTGATCATACCTTGTGTTGGCTATTCGTTCCCTCCATTCTTCTGAAAGGAAATCTCCCCTTTCCAGCTGCCGCACAAGACCAAACAACATCAGTATGTATAGACTTCATCCCTTCAGCCACAATAATGAAGTAATAACATCTTACCGTGTACTCGCCATGTTTTTTGCCATACCATTTCATCCATCTCTTAAACTCCTTGTCCATTGACTGTAAACACATTCAGACATAAATACTAGTGCAAAACATACACTTTGAGGCAGACTCAAGAAGTTGTGAGTGTATAATGTTGGCTTCCTGTTGGTACCTCTGCATAGGTTGCTGGAGTGTCTGCTTTCTCCACGCCGTAGTAGTGTTTACAATTGGTGGCTGCAGCGACTTGCAGGACTACTTGACCAACTCCTGCAAATCAAGCCAAGACGACACTGTATGTCACATAAAATGAGCTTTCAATCTTAAACTGGTAATCAAGATGTTTACATGGCGGTGAATTTTGAGTTGTGTTTTCTGATTCCCAGTTGCATTTTCCAATGCACTCTTCTATTTTTATTATCTTAAAGGTAGGCTTCCAAATTGCTGTGGTGTTTTATTGGAAATGCACTCTTAAACTGCAAGTAAAGATCCGTTCATATCAATTATGGTTAATTCATATCAATTATGAATTTTCTCGAGTTTTCCAAATAGCTGTGCATTTTTGATGAACTTTCAATCTTATATCGCTAATCAAGACTCATTTATACCAATCATGTTAGCGAATTTGCTGTTGCGTTTTCCAAATAGCTGTGCATTTTTTATGAACTTTCAATCTTAGGGTGTATTCACACCAGGAAAGTCCGCTAGTTCACTTGCTTTGTTCAGGACCAAATACAAAGTTTTTTTGTTTTTGTTTGGTGCTGTTCGCTTTCACACTGCCCTTTTTGCAAGTGAACCAGAAAAAAAATGCACGTGTGCTTAATCCATTCATTGGTTTATCCATTCAACCGTACCACAGTTCGTTTGGAAGCGGACCGAGACCACCTCTTCAGCTGGGTCTCGGTATGCTTGTTTGGCCCGCACCCGAGTGCGATTGCTGTATTCACACCTGCTCAAAAGATCCGCACCAAGAGGGGATACAAATTTGAGTTTGATTCAATCGAACCAAACAAGACAGGTGTGAATACACCCTGAAACTGCTAATCTTGCTTGTTTAAATCAATTATGGTAGTGAATTTGCAGTGTTTTTCAATTCACCGTTGAGTTTTCTGATTTGTAAATTTTATTTGCACTTCAGGATCACCATAGAATAGGTCTTCAATAACAGATGTTACAAACCACTGCCCAGATCCACGAAGGTATCGTCTTCCATCATCTCCATCTCATCAATGATCTGAGCTACCAGGTCGAAGGAGGTCTCTCCGTACACCTCGGGAGAGAACGGCTCGTAGTTGTTGAGTTTCTCTGGGTCGGTGACAGAGTGGTTGTAGACCTGCTGTAGGATGTGACGCAGCAGGCCGTTGGAAGGCCGCTTGTTGAGTTTCATGGGTTGGGTGGTCCCTTTCCACTGCAACACACAAACACAGAGTTTTACACGTTTGAAAAATAAAAATCTGTTTTTCGCAAAAAAAGACTTGACGTACCAGTTGGTGAATGCTGTCAATGGCTCTGTTGTACTTATCACATAGTCTCTGCATACTCTCAAAGCTGAAAAAAACCCCCCACAAAAATAAAAATTATCTATGAAATCTATTATCATCCCATAATAAACCATGACGCTGTGCTCAGACACAAGAAAAGCAAAAGAGTAGCAATATATTCCAGCTAATATATCCTGTTTGGACTGTATATAATAAAATCAATGTTTCATCACATTTTCATTAAATATTTAATATATTTAAAATGAAGTAGAAATAAGTTAAAAATATTTAATTGGTAATATTTTGTGAAGCTTTTGCCACTTCATATCAACTTTTACAAAATTACTAAAAGTATAAATAAATAAAAGATTCATGATAATTCTATTAAATAGTATATAATAAATAATTATAATTTAATTAGTAATATTCTGTGAAGCTTGTTATTTCATAATATCAACTTTCATATACCTAGCAATATTAGTACAACTAATAAATTGATGCATGATATTTCAGTTAAATATTCTAAATTAAAAATTAAGAGTGTAATTACAAGTATTTAATTTTGTAATATTTTGTGAAGCTTTTTTCATTTCATCTTTCACAAAACTTGTATTTAATTGTTTCATTAGCATGTACACATGCCATTTTTAATAATAATAATAATAATAATAATGATAATAAATTAATACTTTAAATAAAAACAATAACTATTAACAAATATTATTATTAATAATAAAACAATTTGTATAAATAAATGTAATATAATTAAATAAAATATTATTATTATTAAATTGTTATTATTACTTTTATTACTTCTTTTTAGGCGTCATTTTCCAATGATACCTAATCGACCCAATCTTATGAGACCAATTTGTGACAATTTCCTCACCTCTTGGTGTCGTAGTCGATAAGAACATAGTTCTCCATGGCCAGCTTAAGATCTGGGATCTCTTCACACACCCAGCTGGACAAAGAGAAGAGTCATGTTTTAATTATGCATACAAAACTTGAAGAGCAGACAAACATAACAGCAAAATCAAACCAAACTTACCGAATAGTTTCGATGATTTCATGTGCAGCATCATGATGTTTATCCTGTGGAGTTATAAGCAAAGTCCAAAATTTATGTTTTACTTACTCGCCAGACTACTCATTCAGCGTGTGGCATGTTGTTATCCATTTACAAGAAACAAGCTTCTACAACTACAACAGAATCTTGACATTTCCAGTTTGAGACGGGTCCCAGATCACAACTGTAGCACATTCCTGCACACGCAGCAGCCAGTGTGCCTTCAAGCAGGTGAACAAGTTCATTGGGCACACATGGCTGGATAAGTACATTATGTCACTATAAGCGGACACTGATCCTGTGTACTACAGTATATGAATGCACAGCATAATCTACAGCATTCTAGCACAAACGTTGTGCGTGCAAAAGAAAATGGGCCCTATTTACAAAACACAAGCAAAAAGAAGTGAGTCACAATAAAGAAATGAGAAAACAATAACAATTTATTCAGCAATTATTCTCCCCAAGTTACTTGGGGAAAAGAATTGCGGAATAAATTATGTTATTATTGTTTTCTTTGCGCACAAAAAGTATTCTCGTGGTTTCGTAAAATGACGGTTCAATCCCTGATGTCACATGGACTATTTTACCGATCTCCTTGATATGTTTCTGGACCTTGATCGTGGTAATATCCTTGCTGTCAATGGAGGGTCAGAGAGCTCTCGGATTCCATCAAAAACTATCTTCATTTGAGTTCCGAAGATGAACGAAGGTCTTACAGGTTTGTAATGACATGAGAGTGAGTAATTAATGACAGAATTTTCATTTTTGGGTGAACTATCCCTTTAAGCTCATGTATTTTATCTCATATTTATATATTATTTTATTTCAGCTTGTCAATTACCAAACTTGGTGTTAAACATTAACAAGGATTTTTTTCTTCTTAAATACATTTTATGTTTATTTCAGTTTTAGTAACATTTCAGTTAGAAGCAATGTCTCTCTTTTTTGTTTTTAAGATTTATTTTTGCTGTTTTATGCCTTTATTTAGATAGGACAGTAGGGAGGGAGGGGGGGAGAGAGAGAGAGAGAGAGAGAGAGAGAGAGAGAGGCAGGACTCAAACTTGGGACGCCCGAAGCACAAAGCCCCACGAGGCCATCAGCAGCAACATTTCTAATTTGTCTAATATTTACATATTTTTTCATTTCAACTATCAAAACTGTTGCTTTATACATAAAAAAAGCCCGAAAGCCATCACACATGACTGTGCTGCACTTAAAAATGTGTAACTCTGGCCCTTTTAGAGCTCTGAGGTCAAGAATAATCATCAAGGCTAATTAACCCCGGATTGCGTCTAACATGTGGATGTGACCCCGCCGAACTCGCTCCGGCCTGCCGCTGGAGCTCTGCTGCTGCCTGACCCAGTGACCCACTTTCCGTCAACAGAGTCCTGAGAAGCCCTCTGCCTGCCTGAGTGTGCCGCTGCTGGGCTCCTCTGCCTCGCTAAGCTCCTCCTAGCCATTTTCCCGCTCAGCTGCATGTACGGCGGGTCTCGTGCTCTTCTGCCCACCCCTGCAGCTCCGAGGCGGCGTCACAGGACTGGGAAATAATGCAGTCATAGTCCGAGGCCAAACAAGGGCACTTATTTAAAGCAGGGATGCGCCGTTATTTCAATATTGCGTTATATGCAAACGCTAAGACAGATGGCGGAGTGTGTACGTGCACAAGCAGACACTTCAGCGCATTGAGAGGAGGGGGGCAGCGCACGTGTACGGGGTGTTCCGGCGCACAGCAACACCAGCGCCACAGCTAAAAATATCCAGATGAAAGGAGGGGAGGATGACAGAGAGCAAAAAATAAAGCACGACAGCCCTCGGTCACGAGCAGTATTGACTCACGAGCACAAAAACAGGCTCTTCGTTCACCTCACGCACCCTTGATGTGACTCACGGAGGGAGGTGGAGAAAAAAATAAAAATAAAATCACGCCTCGTGAACACTCATCCTCACTGCACAACTGTTCGTTTTGGCTTTGTGTATTGACGGGTTTAACCGGGTCGTAACAGTCGAACTGTGAGGTGTGTGCGACTGTAATTACTCATACTCCGAATGAATCATTTTGTAGCCAAGTTTAAGGAATTGACGCTTTCATATGGAAGCAATTACAGGCCAGTTTCCAGATATGGGATGTAAATGTGGCCGGATACGTAGGTTATAGGAGCGTAGGTTAGACAGAAAACAGTGAAGCTCAGTGTTCGATAAAAACCCTCTCCTTCCTCCCACCCCAGGTGAGTGGGATGCTTTTGTTTGGAGCACAATGTGAAGCCGTGAGGCAAAATGGCACGCTAGTGGACAAGGAGCCGGCAACAGCGGGAGAGGAAAAATCACTCGGTTGAGTCTCTGAAAAACAAGATTCGAATGAATGGAGGGCTTTTGGTCCTTTGTAAAACACACCGTAACCTCGAATAGAAGTAAGAAATATTTTAAAGCAGGGAGAGGAAAACGCAGCACTTCAGTTTCTCACCTTTCCTCATTTTTTCCCCCACGTCTGGGGTGTTTAAAGGGTTAATTCGCCCAAGAATGAGGATTTTGTCATCATTTATTCACTTGTGTAATGTTTCTAACCTGTATGACTTTATTTGTTCTGAGCAGCACAAAAGGAGAGGTTTTGTAGAATGTGCACGCTGCTCTTTTCCATACAATGAATGTGAATGGAGACTAGGGTAAGGTATTCACAAGCTCTTGATTCAGTTTGGTACAGTTCAGCTAAAGTGTCCATTTTTATAACACAGAAGAAATTCTCTTTCTTCAAATGCTGTAAATTATATAGAGTAGATTCAGATCAACTTCTTGAACTGTTCATTAATTGAACCTTGGCTGTATGTTCTTGATTCACTAAAAATAAATATCAATTATTTTCTTTTATGTTTGAATTAGTAAAAAGAAACGGCTCGTATGATTAATTTGTTTCGGGAATCAGGCTACACTGGTCACTCTGTATATTTATGATTCACTAAAAAGAATCAGCTCAAAAGAGTCATTTGTTTAGGAATCAGGATACACTGGTTATTCTATATATTTATGATTCACTAAAAAGAATCAGCTCAAAATAGTCATTTGATTGGGAATCAGGATGTATACACTGATTGTGCTGTATATTTTTGATTCACTAAAAATAACTGACTCATAAGAGTCATCTCCATTCACTTTCATTGTACAGAAAAAAAGCAGCGTGAACATTCTGCCAAACATCTCTTTTTGTGATCCTCAAAAGAAAGCTAGTCATATGGGCTTGGAACAACATGAAGGTGACCAAATGAACTTATCCTGTAAGGGAAGTCTAAATCACCAGTGCATGTGGATAACCACCGCCCAGACTCCCTAATTAACAGAATCCACCCCTCCCTAAACAAAAATTAGCAAGGCACGTCTACAGCTCGCCAAACGCGGGTGCTCTGTAACTCTGTTTACCCAACAGCAGGTCAGAAATATGGCTCTCAGTAGGTGGGGCATCCATCCCTTATCAGCCAAAGTCAAAAACGGAAGTCATCTCAGGCCAAGCGAGACAGTAAAACGGCTGAGGTCACGACTACTACACTACTAGCTGAATGACAAACGAAAGAGACCGGAGTTTTCAGTGATGCAGCAGCTCTGAAAATAACCTACGCTTCTGAGAAACCCACATTCTCAGTTAGTGTAAAAGAGCATGAATCGTAGTATATTAAACATCGTGAGGGACAAATGAGACAGCCGTTTCTCTGGAAACCACAGGCTTTGATCTGCACCCCCCCATTTCCGTCTACGACCGAAACAGCGTTGGCAACTTTGGTGGCGTGAGAAATGTGAACTTTCGGATGACGTGAGGACTTTCCGAACAAATTCTCGTAATAAAATATTGAAATAAATAACCCCATCTTGTTTTTTCTTTAGTTACTCTGAACATGAAGACATTTCCTCATCTCTTAGGTCACCTCATCTCCTAAATATTACTCTAACTGCCTGCTATAACAGGGTAAATAGCAGTGCATATGTGTGTTTTATGTGGGGTTTCGTCCCACTGTCAACCGATTAATCACAGTGTGGAATCTGTGTGTTATGATTACTGTACATGTGCAATGACTGTATGATTTCAGAAACAACACAGACCGAGGAACAGTGTCTGACTCAGAATGGATGATACGACTCCAAACAAGCCTTTTTGACACCATTTAGGGCACAATAATCGTAGAAACTAGATGAATACATTTTCAAAAGAAAAAGTCAATGGAAAACAGCTTGTCGCCAAAATGCTAGGGCGTTTTGGGTGGTTGCCAGGGCATTGCTACAGTGTTTAAGAGCCCCCACCATCAAGTCTCCATGATATTCGCAACTCTACATTTACGAATCTGTGTTTCAATACTAATATACAATGTTTTCTCCCCCCAGTTTTATCTTCTACCAAACCACAAGCCTGATTATAAAAGTCCAAGTTTTTCACATGTACCGTAATTTCGCCATCAGCATAGTACGCAACTTTTGAGAAGTTGCTCACAAGGAAGCCAATGACCGGGGCTTGATGTACAGCTCCACCTCTCTGGACATAATGAGTGGAGCTTAAAGGTCCAATTACACTGTAGCCCTAAACATATCCCAATCACTAAACATAACTAGGTCAATCTACACCCATTAGGTCCACAGAGGCGGGGCTAGACTAGGTCAAGCTCCACCCATTCATCTCTGCAGTGAGCACTTAGCAATTTTTCGGGCTTCCTGTATTGATTTTTCTGCACTGATTAGCTATTCAACATGGTGGCAACACTGACATTGAATGTTCTTTCACTTTCAAAAAAGAAACCGAACAACAACAGACTCCCGCGCTTGTATGAGGGGTTCAGAAATTCACACAACTCTACTTTAAATGAGTACAAAGATAGGTCATGTCATAGGATGAAATGATGAACCTTTAAAGCGAACCTGTAAAAAAACAAGGTATACTTTGGCCTTTAGAAAAAGAAGGTGGTGTCATTCATAGAAAAAGAGGTGTCATTCTTGTTTTTAGTACAACAGTACAGGATAAATAATGCACTAAATATTTAATACTAAGAGTTGGGAGTACATTCAATGTGTAATAATCTTCAATAATAATGTATATGCTAGAAAGCAACTTTAAAAAGCCAATATTCAAGTCCAGCAGGCTTTACAACCCCCTAGTAACCACTAAAAAGTCAGTTATTGCCAAACTTCCTAGAGAATCCTGCATACTAGCTTGTTTTTCAAGAAATGTCAGCCATACAGGCTACATTATGACATTGTCCCTTTCAGGATGTATCCAAATGGTAACCAAAACACAGCACTATCCCAATGCAAGTGCTGCCAAACGAGCAAACCTGTTTTTAGACATCAGTGACAAACTTGACACTTCCAGAACAGTACACAATACTTCAAAAGATCCCAAATGTTATATGCGGTCCATCCTAGAAAGATACAACCGCGAAACAGTGTAAAGGAAACATCAAAACTGTGAAAAACGGTAAGATACCCATTACGGGACACAAATAAAAGATGTCAATAAAACACTAACAATATGGAGATACCGTCCTCTCGCCTAGTGCACTACTCGCCTTTTGTTTAACACCCTCCGTGTGATATTTAGCCGGCACGAAGCTTATTTCACCCTAATATATCCACTACAGTTCTGCACACACACTTACGACAGATATTTACAATTTGTAAGTTATCTAGAGTTTGACGACAGTTAGTGTTGGGTAAAAAGCGATAAAGTTAGCTAGCCCTGCTATCTGACTGTTAGCATTACGGCTAACGTGAATTTCAGCCTCCAGAAACATTTATTAAATGCAGAGTCATACAAACTATCGTTTCTGGCTGAATATGTGCATTAATGGACGTTTAAACAGTTTGTTCGTCAACAACCTTGCGTTTCTGAGGTAAATTGATAAGTGTTATACACACGCTCTCTGCTATAGCAGGTTTTGGTTTGCGGCGGTGTCTCAAACTCTCGTCAGCTGCCTACCTAGTAAGCGAAATATTTCGCTAGTGTTTATGTTAACTCAAGCGTATGATAAATACAAAATATTTTAATAAATGCCGTAAGACTTGTTTCGGTATTTGTATAAAGAATCGGTTGAGTGAATAATTTTATGACTTGCTTATAACATCCAAGAATAAACTCACTTGTAAACTAACTGCCATAATAAATATAACCTCCAAAAAGGGTCATTGACAAAGGAAAATAATTCAAATTCAAAAGATCTGAATCACAGCAAAGACCCATTTTCTTTTTATTTACGCGTTTAATCGCATTAGAACTGCTTAGCCAGTATAAACACGTTGCCTAGGCAGACAGCTTACGAGGATTTGAAACACAACCACTGTACGAGATGGCCAACTGGGTCAGCAGGCTACACACAGTGTGTATTTCCTGCGATTCAAATATTAACATTAGCTGAGGTGATAATCATTTTGTTTTAAAAAAAAAAAGATATCTGTTATGTCATTTCAAATGTTTAGTGGTCTTCCGAACACCTTTATGAACAGATACACGTTTAGGATATATTCAACATTTAGGATATATTCAACACTTTTAGGATTTACTGACACTCTCATGTCCCAATTTTAAGCGGTTCTTGGTTCTTATAACACCAATATTGAAACAAGCACATAAAAAAACAAACAAACAAAAAAAACATTCACACACTATGCACACCATGTACTCGTTCAGATAACGTTAACGTTACACGTTATTCTCTGCCTACATGACCCACTTCGCTTTATCGCAAGGGAATCCCGGTGTTTGTTTCGGTTTGTATTAAAACAATAATACTGATAGTACTTACATATACAGGTAAGGGCCACGGATAGCCTGCAGCTTCGGCTCCGACCGGCGACTTCAGCTTTAACTCCAGCTTTTCTCCCATTTTCCCCAAAACAGCTAATGGACGAGACACAAACTAGAGTAAGAGCATTTCCGTGAAAAAAACACCGGGTTTAACGCGACAGGATCTCACGTTGGATATCACAGGCTGCGGGTGATTTAACACCGTTGTGCCGAGCGATTTGGTCGGTCTGAATCCGATCTGCCCCGGTGATTTAGAGAAAATGATCGATTAAGCCGAGCGGCTGCTCCGTCTTGGCAGTACCGCCGCCATCTTGACCGGCTCACGATGAAAAAAAAATGCGCCCGAGCGTGTGTATATGTGTGCTGGTGGTGAGAGGCCCGATTCATTTATCCGAATCGGTTCTTTTGAACGAATCTTGTAAAAAAAAAAAACACACTCAAACGAGTCTTTTACGTCACCGAACGCTCACTGGCGTCCATTCGTCCTTTTTCACATTTGGCTCCCAAACTCTGGACTTTTGGTAGTACCTAGGATAGCAAAGTCCACTAAAGGAGGTAGAGCTTTTTCGCATTTGGCTCCCAAACTCTGGAATAGCCTTCCTGATAACGTTCGGGGTTCACACTCTCTCTGTTTAAATCGAGATTAAAGACACATCTCTTTGGCTAAGCATTCAAATAATGCATCTCATAATCTTGTACTGCAGTTATATCTGATCAAATGCACATTATTATTCTTTAGTTTGGGTTAAACAAATCAATTTTGCTTGGTTGGAACAGCAGCTACGCTAATTATGTCTCAATTTGTTTCTCTGTTTTTGCAAGGATTTACACAAGCTTCAGTCTGAGAAGAGACGATGCCAACCCCTCAGAGGACCTCAGATGATGCCAACCCTGAAACAACATACAGAACTACCACATTTTGCTATAAGTTTGATTGCATCATATAATAATTGCTGTTAATAGTGTTCATCGTCTGTTTTATTACGTCTTTGATTGAATTTTATTGAACATTTCTGCCATATGTAGTAGGCTACATCAATTTGACAGTCACCACTGATAAGCTACTACTAAATATATTGTAGAAACTTAATTTTCTGTGAAGCTGCTTTGCAACGATTTGTATCGTGAAAAACGCTATACAAATAAACTTGAATTGATTTGAATGGTTGCAACCACAGCCTCTGGAACTACATTGTTCGGCGGAAGAAGAATATTTTTATTTATATCATTACATTTTATTTGCGTTGATTTATTTTGTGCAACCTTGCTACATATAGGGAATAAGGGGGGTCTGCTTCGCGTCGTGCCTAACAATGCCCCTTAGCTGTTATAAATTCACTGTTAACCACAGCTTCTTGGGGCTTACTGCTTTATTAAAGAATACTAAAATCAGTCATTAATTAATCAAAGGGGTGAGTAAATGATGACAATTTAAATTTTTTGGTGAACTATCCCTAACGAATTGCTCTCAACTGTTTTGGGAAGCGGTTCAACTGATTCATTAAAAAGAGCCGACTCACATGAACGATTCGTTCGTGCTTGTGTAGTGCGCAGGTCGTACCATCAAAACCGAAACGAAAGGGAGAGTGGAAATTGGTATGTATAAAACTAGAGGGGCGAGGCGTCTGTTCTCTGACACACACACGGCGGGGATTTCGCCTCGACAACTCTCTCACATTGGCTGGGTAACGATGACACGGATCGACAATTAACCGGGCGGTTTGAATCAGGATGCCGGTCCCAATAACCGTTGAATGGGCGGGACGTAGGCCTACCATTTTCCCCCCAGCACATGTGCAGAAAGTGAAGAACCCATGTTTACTATCAGGATGCTGGACCTTTACTTTCAACTTAAAATGTAGGGAGAAAACCATAGACTGTATAAAAACGTTAAGTGAAACTAATATATTCGTTTTCTTTTAGATAGTACTTTTATTAATCTTCTTGGAAAGATTTGAGAAATTATTCAAAATGGTGGCGGCATAAAGGACAATCAACATTCGTATAAACACTTCTATACAGCCGAGACCAAAAGTTTTGAGGATGACAAATATTAATTTTCACAAAGTCTGCTGCTTCAGTGTTTTTAGATCTTTTGTCAGATGTTACTATGGTATAGGCCTACTGAAGTATAATTACAATCATTTCAGAAGTGTCAAAGGCTTTTATTGACAATTACAATAAGTTTATGCAAAGACTCCGTATTTGTAGTGTTGACCCTTCGTTTTCAAGACCTCTGCAATTCGCCCTGGCATGTTGTCAATCAACTTCTCGGCCACATCCTGACTGATGGCAGCCCATTCTTGCATAATCAATGCTTGGAGTTTGTCAGAATTTGTGGGTTTTTGTTTGTCCACAAGTTCTCAATGGGATTAAGGTCTGGGGAGTTTCCTGGCCATGGACCCAAAATTTCAACGTTTTGTTCCCTGAGCCACTTAAAGGGGTCATATGATGCGATCTCAAGTTTTCCTTTCTCTTTGGAGAGTTACAAGCTGTTCGTGAATAGATAAGATCCCTGAAGTTGCAAAGACTAAAGTCTCAAACCCAGAGATATGTTTGTCATTTCTTTGATCACAAATGCAGACGTGGTTTTATGTTTACGCGGCGCAATGCAATGCAACGCGTAAAAAGACAGTACAAGTCATTATAATCAGTAATTATGTCCCCACTGAATGCAACAAATGTCTCGTTTGTAATGGGTTTTATTCTTTTTGTCTCGTCGCTCCGGCCGGGACAAGGCATCACAATATGGTGAGGGACGTAACATTTCCGTCACACGCTTGAGGTATTCAGTCAATCACAACACACCTCGCTTTTCAGACCGATGAGCTTTGTAAAAATCAACACGTTTCAGAAAGGCAGGGCATAGAGGAGAAACAATAATGTACAGTATGTGGAAAATAATGTTTTTTTTAACCTTAAACCACAAACATTTCATTACACCAAATACACAAAATAATGTTCTTTTTTTAACAACATCATATGACCCCTTTAATGATCACTTTTGCCTTATGGCAAGGTGCTTCAGCATGCTGGAAAAGGCATTGTTCATCACCAAACTGTTCTTGGTTGGGAGAAGTTGCTCTCGGAGGATGTTTTTTTACCATTATTTATTCATGGTTGTGTTCTTAGGCAAAATTGTGAGTGAGCCCACTCCCTTGGCTGAGAAGCAACCCCACACATGAATGGTTTCAGGATGCTTTACTGTTGGCATGACACAGGACTGATGGCAGCACTCACCTTTTCTTCTCTGGACAAGCTTTATTCCGGATGCCCCAAACAATCAGAAAGGGGATTCATCAGATAAAATGACTTTACCCTAGTCCTCAGCAGTCTAGTCCCTGTACCTTTTGGAGAATTTCTGTCTGTCCCTGATTTTTTTCCTGGAGAGAAGCGAGTTCTTTGCTGCCCTTCTTGACACCGGGCCATCCTCCAAAAGTCTTGGCCTCACTGTGCGTGCAGATGCACTCACACCTACCTGCTGCCATTCCTGAGCAAGCTCTGCACTGCCGGTGCCCCGATCCCGCAGCAGAATCAACTTCTGGCACTTGCTGGACTTTCTTGGGTGCCCTGAAGCCTTCTTAACAGCAATTGAACCTCTCCCCCTTGAAGTTCTTGATGATCCGATGAATGACTGATTTAGGTGCAATCTTACTAGCAGCATTATCCTTGCCTGTGAATCTTTTTTTGTGCAAAGCAATGATAACTGCACACGTTTCCTTGCAGGTAACCATAGTTAACAGAGGAAAAACAATGATTTCAAGCACCACCCTCCCTTTAAAGCTTCCAGTCTGTTATTCTTACTCAATCAGCGTGACGGAGTGATCTCTAGCCTTGTCCTCATCAACACTCTCACCTGAGTTAATGAGAGAATCACTGACATGATGTTAGCTGGTCCTTTTGTGGCAGGGTTGTAATACAGTGGAAATGTTTTTGGGATTAAGTTAATTTACATGGCGAAGAGGGTCTTTGCAATTGATTGCAATTCATCTGATCACTCTTCATGACATTCTGGAGTATATGCAAATTGCCATCATAAAAACTGAGGCAGCAGACTTTGTGAAAATCAATATTTGCTTTTCTCAAAACTTTTGGCCACGGCTGT